TATATATATTTGCTCTGAGTGCTTCCATGACTTGGTGGTAAAGGAGTTGTACTGCCAGTCCAAAGGTATGGGGTTCGAATCCATTAACTTTTATAGGAGTAATCATCTTGTGTGATTTTTTTGCCTTTGAAAACTGCTGTGTAGGATTATCTGTGAGTTGGTTCCAACTTGATGGTACATATCAACAACATATATTTTGTTTGGTGTAATTTGGAAAATGTAAATATTTTTTTTAATTTTAAAAACTACTCATTAATACTACTATGTATAAATATTCGCTCCAGGTTTTTGTGACATCTGGCATTTGTCAGAATAACCTGTGATTCCAAGGCCAAGATGAAGATGTACATATTATTAATCCAGGATATTTCTGACTGATTTTCCGTTATCCTTCAGGTGAGGCAGGCGACCAATCAGATTGTGATGAATTGTGCTGATATTGATATTATTACAGCTTCATATGCACCAGAGGGAGATGAAGGTAAAAACTTTTCCATTTGATTTATCTCTCTGTGTGTACATACATAAACTTGTATATGTTTGGGTGTGTGGATACATGGTTAAGATAGCAATGTCTGTTACTTTAAAATGTTTATATGTACTTAATGGGAAATACTTCAATGTAGTCTGACTGTAGTATGAGATTTATAAAGCACAATTTTAATTTACTTCAGACATTACTGTGTGAATTTGGGCAAACTGCATTTTCATAAAAGAAGAAAATAAAAAAAGAAAGAAAATAATACCACCCATGTAAGACTGAAGAGTTATTTTACAAACGAAAAAAGTTGAATATGAAAGGTCTATCATGGAGGCTTGGTTTATATGTAATTTTTAAAATGCTTTTCCCCCCCCTTCTTAAAATACTGATTGAAATTGAGAAAATAAATACTACTTATAATAGAAGAAAAATATTTGCTTTATATATTTGATTATTAGGTTTAGAAGCTAAATGATAGAGTTTGTTACAGGATAAGAGCATGTTAAAAAGAAACCCAGTATAGACTCTATGAGAGGTTTGATAGCATCTTTGAAATGAGTACTATTTTAGATCTTAAAGTAATACATTAAGTAATTAGTATTGGCCTTAAATCTTATTTCCACACCAGCTGCATTTTTAAAAGTTTTCAAATTTGGCGTAAACTTACACAAGCATAGTGGAGTTGAATTGCTTTTTGTTCCTGACTTCATCTTAATACTTCTTATCAATAAACAAAATGGTTTCTTTTTACTAATATGAGATGTCCTTTAAGAAAATATTCTCAGGGAGCTCTGATGGCCTAGTGGCAAGAAGTTGCACTGCAATCCTAGAGGTACACAGTTCAAATCCACCAGATGCTCTGCTGGAAAAGGAGGGGCAATCTCCCCCTGTACCAGTCAGATCCAATTTGACGGTCCACACACACAAAAATAATTAAAAAAAAAAATTCTCATTTGATATAAAAGAAATTAGAAAGTGGACTTTTTTTAAAAAAAAAAATGACTTTTTAATTAATATTTTATAATGCTGTCTTCCTTTTGCATCTTCCTGAAAGATGTATGCAAGTAACTCTTTATGTCTTGCCAGTATTTATTTCATTAATTAGAAGAATTATCTTGTCAGTGGGAAGACAAAGTAAATAATAGTTGAGCATATTATTGCCAAGAAATATTTATATCCATTTGATTATAAATGAGATCAGCTTACTAAGGTTTTATGTGTAAAAGAACAGATTCATCAAATGAACTTGATGAAAGCCAAAGTTAAAAAAAATTGTTTGATAAATGAAAAAGAGTAATGACTTAACTATGAAGAAAAATGACAGCACCTTACCTAGTTATGTTAAAGAAAATTTGATGCAGGTAGAAAACATTTCAATGCAGGGTTTTAAATTGATATTCAGTATATTTAGAGAGGTAGATCTGGGAAAACAAATGTCTATCTTCCAGCTGTCGTGATTTCAGTTCGGATTTTTAAAAATTTTGGTTTTTATCTTCTTTTAAAATTGCCAGAAAAGAATTCAAAGGACTTGAAAGTTCTGAATTTGTATTACTGAATTGGTGCCAAGCTCATAATAATCTGTATGTAACTCAAGGAAACAGTGGTTAATATTCTCATTAAGGAAGTTTAGAAGATAAATGAAAACATAGAGGAAGTGAAGAGGACTTGGAAAGAGTTTCATATAAAACATTAACGTTTTTTAGATACAGAAGGTATTTTCTTTCAAAACAGGCTAAGGTATATGTTCAACCCTTTTCTCCCACAGCAACAGGAAAATCCTGTAATTTCCTGTAAGGCCATTCAAGTTTAGAGTGTAAAAGAAAGGAAAGTTGCATTCCGTTTGGGTCAGGTTCAGGGATTTCTACATAGCTTCATTTTGTTCTTTGACATAATAGTATTTCTTGATTTATCGTGCCTTTTAAGAGGAGATTACATAATTGTTTAGAAGTTAGTTATGAATTAGACTGCCAGTGCTCTGCAGGGCTGTATAGTGGTGGTCAAAGAATAAATGGAACCAGTAGGAGAGAAATCATGTTTAAACCTAGTTAATCTCATCTAGTACCCACCAATTAATACTGTGATTGCCTTCTTTGCAAGCTCTGTTTAGATTCCTGTAGCCCATGAGTCTGTGCTTTTAGGTAAAATCAGAACATTATTTGAAGGCATAAAATTGCAGCTTTTTGTGTAAGTTCTTAATTATGGAAAAGGCCATCTTATGATACATGCAGTACTCCAGAAAGACCTTTCGCATGTGTCTGTTTAAATTAAGGCACTGTCTTTTAAACAAATAATTTATTTAAAAACATATTTGAGATCTTTGTAATATTTTAAAACTGAGAAACCAGTAAGAAAAACGGCTGAAAACTGTTTTTTTACTGTTCTGCACTTCAAGGGTTGGTGAAATCACTAGCACTTAAGCCAGTGCAAGGAATGCACCTCCCTACACAGTGCAGGGATTAGTATTGTCATCAGCTTCTGCAAGAGAAATACGAAACTCTTGAGTGCCTGAACTCAGGTCCTGACAGGTAAAGAGTTTTTTAATTTATCATTAATAGATGGCTTGGGCATAACCAATAAAAAATGATCACTTGAGAATTTTATTCCAACTTTTCCCATAATATACTCTTGTCAGGTATGTTTGTAGAATTAGCTGTGTTAGAAAAAAATTTCCATTGGTGATACAGCATTTTATTCAAAGTTCTAATTCGTAGTTTTAGATATGACAGCATCACTTTGTTTTATATATGTAAGGCACGTAAATGTTTAACATGTATTTTTGAAGTAAGGTTATATATTTAATAAAAGTGCATTATAGTATGATTTTGTATTAAATGGAAGGATAAAGTCAGCTTATTTAAAAATTTTGTCAAATAGTAATGATTTCAAAGTGAAACTTACTAAATTGACAGGAGATGTTTCTTCACATTTGATCGTAAGCCTTTGTTTAACTATTAGTAATATACAGTCTGTCATACAATTATGTGTTGATCAATAATAATAATAATAAACCACTGTCTCTTTGCAATAAAGTAATTTATGTTATTATTATGAAAATACATGTACCTTAAATGACTAGGTAAGTACTTAAATTAGGTAGATTAAAGAGAAGGAAAACTTTCTATATTACAGTCAAATGTATTATAGGAAAAATAATAGAAGTTTCATAAGGAAATTTTAAATGAAAGGAACCTAAGTATAACTTCTGTTCTATAAATGATGCTATTTAGGTTAGGAGCCCCAAATCAAAGTTCTTGTTGGGGTTAAGGAAATAACTAAAATGAGTGGTTTGGGCTGGGTGTTGGAAAATAAGAATAATGAAATAGAAACTGAACAAAAGAGTTCATAATCTATATAAATGTAAATCAAAACAGTATCTGGCCAAGCAGTACATTTCTGTGGGCCATATTCACTTCTCTTGAGTTTGTAAATTCTGAAAAGGCCTGAAGAAAGATTTGAGCAAAAGCCTTAAGAGATTCTTATGGAATATTAATGGAAATGGATATAAATAATGTATAGTATTTCATATTCTGGTTCATTACATTAAACCTATTGTTATAATTTACTGCCTATGCTCCAGTGGTTTATATATATATATTTTTTTTTTAATTTTTAAATTTTTTAATAAAAAGGATTCAGAATCTAGAATATTATTTTTTTTAAAAGAATCTAGAATATGATCCTTTATGGATAGCTTTTATAATATTTAGAGTTTAAAATGGCCTTATTTTGAGCTCTTCTATTTATATTGTCTGGTTTTTATTTTACTTCTAGTTATTTTTGAGTGTATTAAGTTTAGAAACTTTGAGATAGTTTGTTTTATACTGTTAATTTTATAATGAATGGGTAAATTTATGCTATGCATTAGCCAATCCAGTCTTCTAGCCTACTTGAGAAACTGTGTGTTTTTCCCTAGCGCTTTGATAGTTTTCACTTTTCCCTCTCTGAGCTAAATGATTTTCTTTTAATTCTGATGTAAAAAGTTATATTTTAAAAAATTTGTTCTATCCATATGTATACTCATTGTTAATACTTTATGTGTGTCTGATTTTTTCCGAGATCCAGATGCTATATAAAGATTCTATTTTGGTGTAGGCTGTAGGGAGTTGGACTGCTAACCCAAAGGTGGCACCTCTCAGGCAGTTCAGATCCATTCTCTCCATGGAAAAAAGATGAACAGTCTCCTCTGCTATGAGTTGTTTCAGACTCATCTCTGTAGGTGTGCTGTTGTTTGATGGTATTGTAATTATTTTGGCTTGTAGCAACCCTATATGTTAGAACTGTCCTTAGAGGGTTTTGCAGGATAGGACAGGATTCAGATCTGTTGTTCATAGGATCGCTGTAGGTTGTACTTGACTCAACAACTACAATCTTTACAGGAGCAGATTGGTAGGCCTTTCTCCTGTAGGGTAGCTGGTTGGGTTCAAACTGCCAAATTTTTGGTTAGCAAATAGACACTCAACTGTTGCACAACCAGGGCTCCATATCTTAGAGAACGTGAAATTAATAGTGAAACATGTTAACATAAGATTTCTGACATCACTTAGCTTGTTATTAGAACAATACATATATAACACATATGTTATAGATTTCAAAGGAGTCATAGCTTTTTCACATGAAGATCATATATTATTTTGTGTCTTATTTTTCATAAGAAAAACTGCCTGTACTTAATACAATATTCTTAAAGAATATTAAAGACAATTTTTCACATATATAGGAATAGAGATGTTATTAATTAATACTAAAGCTCCTAACCCTGGTTCTTTTGATGAGATGCAGCATGCTTTTAGATTAATAAAGTGGATCAGAGGATACACGTGTTTCAATTTATGAGAGTACCTCTTTGTGAAGTAGTGGTAGAGAGTTGCATTGTTAACTCCACAGCCACTTGAGTTTATCAGTTAAGTTACTCCAAGAGAAAAAGTTGGGATGTCTCTTCTGATAGAGTTCATAGCTGTGGAAACTTACTGAGGAGTTTATGAGTCACTTCTAGATCGGCA